TGTTGGGAGAATATGATACTTCAGAACTTATGGGTCAGCCTCCACGCGAATGCAATCAGAATTTGCAAACACGGTTCAGAACATGATGCTTCAATCAGAACATATGGAAGCAATGTTCTTCGGTCAAAACATGACTCTTCAGCATATAGAGGTTACGTTTCTGATCTTCTGCAATCAGAACATCACCAAATCCCAAAACCTCGTTTAAGCAGCTTGTTGCCCTGCTATATCACAGTCCTGCAATCAGCTGCTGATCCAGTCCACGCCTGCACTATCTCAAACCCCATATTTGCACCAATTTAGCATACAAAAACTGTGATTAAAAAGCAATGGGACAGTATGCCAAAAAGGTTTAAATCTCATTTGTTTTCCCCCTAAAACACAACAAACTCACCTATAAATAAGTTGCTCTATCACACTTTCAAGGAGCTAGCTTTTGGAAAGGGAGAATTATCAAGGAGAGAAGAGAAAACAGTAATACATTCGTGAACCCTGAATTCCTAAACAAAACCAAAAATCTTTGTTCTTCCCTTTGAATCAAAGAACATATCATTTTTTGTTCCGTTGTTCTTGCTGATTCCAGAACATCTGAAGGCAGCAACTCAAGTTCCAAACACATGTTCCAGATTCTAGGTAAGTCTTTCTGACTTTGAATATTTTCATTTAGAACATCATTAAATATGTAAATATCATAGTATTGATGTTGTCCATATCATTGCATGAGTAGAAAAACTGTGGATCGGAACTTCTTGAATAAAGTTAGGCTCAGAATTAGGATTAGAACTTCTATGAACTGTTGTGCTTTCATCCTTTTGATTTATTTTCGTTAAGAACTGGATAAATTGCAGATGTTCTGACTAATGTAAGGAATGAGGTGAAATGTAATACATAATTTCTGGGTTTTCTTTCTTATTGTTTTAGCATGACACGGAAATTCTGAGTTCCCCTCACTGTTTTTAACACGCACAGAACTTCTGAGTTCTCCTCACTGTTTTTAACACGCACAAAACTTCTGATTTTTACTCACTGTTTAACACAGCACAGAACTTCTGATTTTCACTCACTGTTTAACACAGCACAGAACTTCTGATTTTCACTCACTATTTAACACAGCACAGAACTTCTGGTTTTCATTCACTGTTTGACACAACACATAACTTATAAGATTTTCTTAACACTTAGAACTTCAGCACGTAGCGACCCAGAACTTCTGTTTTTCCCTCTAACATTTATTTCAGGACCTCATAGTGCATCAATACAGAACTTCTGATTTCCTCTGATGTTTCATTATGAACCACAGCGCGCCTGGCATCAAAACTTTTGATCCCCTTTATTTTGCTTTCAGCAACATGCTGATCCTATTCCTCATTGTTTTTCCTTTTTCTCTATTATTTTTATAAAAAAGGACATCAAAAAAATATTTTCTTTCATTAAATAATTATTTTCCTTTTAATTTGTTAAGACCAAAAACCATTTTTCAAAACAAGTCTTTTCCTTTTCTTATATTGTACAATTTAATATGGTTGTAATAGTTAATTAGGATTTAAAATTTTTGCAAACCCTAGTTTGTAATTTGTACCCCCATCCATAAATGATGTAATAGCGTAGAACTTTACATTTCCGCGATTTACCGCTTTTCAAATATAAATGCTAGTAATTAGGGTGTGTATGGCAAGACATGAAATCAACAAATAGATAACCCTAATCAAGACTAAATGCATGTAAATCAAACACACTTGCACACTAGCACCCTTAGGGTAATCCCATTTTGTTGCCTATCGGAAAATAGTCATGTCCCTCGAATATGGTAGTTTTAGCAAAGACCCTCGATAAAAGATCGTAGTCCCTCGATGACCCTCAATGTTCCCTTCGGTAAACGATCTAGTTCCTAAACGACATTGCTAAAACGTCCCATAGGTTGCCTTCTATGACAATACAAAACGTCCCACGCCCGTCCCTTCACATCCAACGACGGGATTTCTTACCAAAACAATGGTAAGATAACAACATCTAAAGGAGGAGGAAAAGAATGTTTAATACGTTTTGAGTAGGTAGGTTACTCCTAGCTGCTTGCTTGCTCACAACAAAACACTTTATACACCTACACTTCACTTTGAAACATTTTTCAAAAGACAAAACACTTTGTATGCGTTCTTATAGAGACGAGAACCATTACAAAGACACCTTTTCAAAATACTTTCAAAATCCACATCACAAACACATTCTCAAACAAAAAGCAAGTGATCTAGCAAGCAACTAAGAGCCCGTAGATAACTACGGATAAAAAGGATGCTAATACCTTCCCTTTTTATAACCTACCCCCTAGACTCAAGAAATAATCTCGAAAGGTCTTTCCTGTTCTTTTCAGCCTTTCCTTTTGGATAAAAGAAAAGTCGGTGGCGACTCTTGCTAACCGCAACAATTGCGATCAAACGCAAAACATCCCAAGTCAGTTCTCCCACCGTGTTACACCTCCCAACAAAAACAAATGTACGAAATTGTATATTTCAGCATCAGATTCGACATTGGCAGTATGTTAGCCCAAGAGGATGAAGATGGCATCGAAAGAGCCATTTACTACCTCAGTAGTGTCATGAATGATGTTGAAACTAGGTATAATGCTATAGAGAAATTATGTCTTTGTTTGTACTTCTCATGTAATAAACTTAAGCATTATATAAAATTAGTGGAAGTTTCTATTTAATCTTATTTTGACGTTGTTAAACACATGTTGTCGAAACCAATTCTACATAGTCGTATTGCTAATAGGCATTAGCCTTAACATAATATTCACTCACATATGTTTCTTTAAAGGCCGGAAGGGTCAGATTGTTGTTGATTTCATTGTCGACCATTCAGTGGTCAAAATGAATGAATGTTACGTAAGTACAAGACCTTGGCAGTTATACTTCGATGGATCCAAACATAAACAAGGAGTAGGAGTAGGTATCTTCATAATGTCGTCAGAACAAACTCATATCCTGTTTATGTTTAAAATTAAAGGAGAATGTTCTAATAATGAGGTCAAGTATGAAGCCCTAATAACAAGACTTCAAATTTTATTAGAGCTGGGAGCAAATGAGATGGAGATAAAAGGCGATTTCGAGTTGATTGTGCGACAAATGAAGAGAGAATACAAGTGCATCAAGGAGAACTTAATGATGTACTTTGCCACTACACTATTGCTATTGACTAAGTTTAATAATGTGTCGATAAGTCATGTCCGTCGAATAGAAAATCAAGAGGCTAGTGAATTAGCCCAAGTAGCCTCAGGGTATAGAGTCTCCAGAGAAAATTTAGAAGAATTAATATAAATAAAATACAAGTTGATTCCTAATTATTTCTCACTAGGAGAAGCGTCAACCTCAAAAACTGGGGGGCAGGAGCAGAAGTAGTCCCATATTTATTAAATTTTGATTACTTCGGAAATTTTGAAATTTTGGAAGTTTTTGCCATTGACGCTTTAGCATAAGGCGATTGGAGAAAACCCATAGTCGATTATCTGAATACCCCAACGGGATTGATGGATCACAAGGTTAAATATAGGGTGTTAAATTATAGAGTCACATGGAATGAATTGTTTAAGAAAACCCCTGAAGGAGTCTTGTTGAAATGTTTGGGGGGAAATGAGGCATACGTGGCAGTATTAGAGGTGCACAGCGGTTCGTGCGACGCTCATCAAACAAGCCAAAAAATGAAATGGTTGCTTTGTCGAACGAGAGTGTATTAGCCAACTATGTTAAAAGATTTCATAGAGTTCGCTAGGGGGTGTCAAGAGTGCCAGAAACATTCAGGGATCCAACATGTGCCTGCAAGTAAATTGTATTATATCGTGAAACTATGGCCTTTCAGAGGATGGGCTTTGGATATCATAGGGGAAATTAAACCCACGTCATCGAAAGGACACAAATATATCTTGCTGGGGATATACTATTTTACCAAATGGATAGAAGCAGTGCCATTAACCAGCGTCGATCAAGAGGAAGTAATGAGTTTCATACAGAACCACATCATGCATAGGTTTAGGGTACCTGAAACTATTACGACTGATCAGGGAACATTATTCACCGGGCGAAAGATGGTGGAGTTCGCTGCAGAAATAGGCTTTAAGTTGTTGATGTTGATGTCGTATTACATCCAAGCTAATGGTTAGATCGAAGCGGCCAACAAAATTGTAATTGGTCTGACTAAGAAACATATTAGGCAAAAGCCCAAGAATTGGAAAAAAAATTTAAGCCAGGTCTTATGGACGTGTCGAAATTCACCCAAAGAATCCACAAATACAACACCATTTAGATTAGTATATGGACAGGATGCGGTATTGCCTTTGGAGATACACTTGCACTTAATAAGAGTCCAGAGGCAGACAAAAATTCCAACTAAATATTATTGGGGGATGATGTTCAACACATTGAGTGATATCGACGAAGAAAGGTTGGATGCGTTGGATGTTCTACTTAGGCAAAAAGAACAAGTGGTCAAAGCTTACAATAAAAAAGTAAAATATAAGTCGTTCATCTTGGGAGACTTAGTTTGGAAAGTTATCTTGCCAATGGATAGAAGAGATATAGTTTTTGGGAAATGGTCCCCTAGTTGGAAAGGACTATTCTGAGTGTCACAAATTTTTACTAATAATGCATATGAAATTGAGAGCTCACACCCGAAGGGAGAGTCCTGTAAATTAATGGGAAATATTTGAAGAAATATAGACCCATGCTGCAAGAAATCACCATTGATAAGGGGTAAAGAGCATAGTCAAGGAGATAAAAAGGCCAATAAAAGGGCCTGAACATTAAGCCAAAAAGAAAAGTAAATTGTTTAAATACAATAACCACAAATTAAAAAGGCACAAACACCTGCATTTTCGAATAGTGTTCCTTCGTTGCAGCAAGGAGTTGATCGGCTAAAAGAATGGAAGATTCAAAGTCAGTCAACTCAACGTCCAAAGCCCTAACCTGCTCAAAATACTGAACCCCGATCGTGGCTTCTACATCAAGGGCTTATTGAGTGGTGTCATCTGCACGAGCTTGAAGCACCCAAGCTTCTTTCACTTTGGCTTGCAACTCCTCAATTTGTTTATTCCATTTGGAGATGTCGACAACCCTGGTCTCAAATTCATATTTTTCATGGTCAAGAGACTTGTGCAATTCCTAAATTTTGGCCAAAGAGATTGTTACCAATTCTAACTCTTGGGATCGAGAATGTTCCTGGGGTGACTTCCTTGTTTAGCCATCATTCTTGCGAGTGATGCCAACCAGAAGTTGATCCAAGAAGGCAGAAAACTCTATCACAAAGCTGACGACAACAGAAGGCGAAGTTAATAGATCAACATGTTTGAGTAAGTCCTTGATGTCGTGGCTAGCCATGACATTAGTGTGCAACAGCACAAAGAGGTCACCATCGAATAAAGTTGTTTTAAGGCGGCAGAGTATTTCTTTTTGAGTTTCAATGGGAGGAATGTTGTTTGAGACCGTTGAGGAACTAGAACTCATGTCGGTCGAAGTACCCCTTGTATTCATCATGAGTTTTAAATATTCCAGGGGCCTGGTTTATTTTAGGGCGACAATTTCTTCAAGAGACATATGAGTGGTTTGAGTATTGTCATGTGTAGGTGGTATGTTGGAGGCAATATGAGCCATTGGTTGATTGACAGAATAGAGGAATGCACCACTTGAAAAGTAGGTGGAGTTTGTTGAGTATGGAAAGTGTTATGGTCATCTTCAGCTAACTCCCTCTCAATGTCGTCATTTGAAGGATGGTTTGGATCGACAAGGGAGTCAGTAGGAGCAAGATGATCATCGACCAAGGTAGAAGCCACATTGTGCAATAATTGGTCTTCCATGTCATTATCGACAAGGGTTTTTCTCACCGGTGAATAGTCTGGAACTTCACTAGCAGTGTAGGAAGAGGTGTTAGAGTGAGGAGATTGTAAGTCACTTTCATCAGAAGGAGTGAGACTTAGAAGCAAAGTCACAGTCATGGAAGGGATTGGTTGAATGATAGCTAGTGGTTTTTGAATAGTAGATTTTGGTGGTGTAACAAGAGGGATCGATTGTTGTTGAACATATGATTTGAATTTTGCAACAGTATTGCGCTACAAAAGGAAAATAACATGCCTCAATGACGACACAGACAAAAAAGAAACTCCGTCTTAAAATTATACATACCTGAAGACCACCCTCAGGTCTTGAATTGGTACTTTCTTGTTGATTAGGGGATATGTTTAGGGTAGCCATAGCTGATCTGGTTTTCAAGCGAATTATTTTTTGCCCCTTTGACGTCTTCGCTGCAGTAGCAGCCTTGGGTTATGGTGAAGCGGTGACTTTGGGGTGAGGAGTTGTTCGAGCGGATTTTCTTTTCTTGGGTTTCTTCATGGAGATGTCTGGAGAAGGCTGACGATTGGCAGAAGGCTCTTTGATATAGATACCTTTGGACCGCTTGGGAAGGAGATTGTCAGAAACTACTTCTACTTGCGCTTGGACAATGCAAGAGAAGAGTGAGGAATATGCAAGCCAGACTGCACATCAGATAAAGAACAAAATAAATCTGGTGTGAAGGTCCTTCATCGGCTGTAGAAAAAGTGCCAGCCCCTCTGGAAGATTCTCCGGGGAGCTTTTTATGCTCAACTGCTGAAAAAAGGGTTAGTAAAAGTGAGAAAACCAAAACTAGAGAAAGTAAAAGAGTGGAGTATGTACAGGAGTTTTCTACACCTTCAAGTATCAGAGTCAAAATCTTAACACATTCAAGGTCGACATGAAGTTGTCCTTTGAAGTCGTCCAAAGAGTGCTTAGTCAGAACTACTTGCTGCGATGGTTTTAAAAATTATTATTTATTACTTTCAAAAAAGACCCACAAGGCCACTAGTCTGGAAATAGGGGGCGAAACGCCAAAGCCAATTTCGATTTTGGTAAAGATGAAAACTTGGGTGGATATCATATGAAAGCAAACTCATACTTGTCTTTGTTCGCCAAGTAAAAAGGGAGTTTCAAACTAGGAAGTTTTTTTAGAAAATTTTCCTTCAAGGTCGCAGCGGCTTCACAAATAAACTGTTGTAAGCACTCTGGATTGTAAACGACTTCAAAGTATTTTTGAAAAGCTTGGATATTCTTAATTTACTAGGATCTACGTTGTAGGAATTTTTTTTGCATGGCTGAAAAATCCTCAGTCAGTCGGTTAGAAAATGCTTTAGCAGTGCCACATTTGACCACATAATATTTGAGCCACCAGTCATGGAACTCTTTGGTGCAAAAGAAAGCGGTATCAAAAGCAAGGGGGTGAGGAAAGGGGTGTTAGGAATGAATTGAGCTAGTCGCTTAACACATTCATTCTCATCAAAATTTACCAACCAAAGACAAAGGTCGCGCTTTTGAGTGTAAAAGCAACGAGGCACTGGTTGACATAAACCAAACTGGCGCGCCACCAAGTTTGGTAGGTGGCAAAGAAGCTTCACACCCTCCTTTGGGCCAAGTCTGGTGACTATAAGCTTGGGGGTGAGGAAAGATTCCCAGATTTCCCTTGATTTAACAAGTAGATCTGGGTTGGAAGGAGGGAATTCCCTGGTAAACCATTCAGGTCCATGGCGCTTGTAAGCAAAAGGTGTTATCTCAGGGGTGAAGGCGCGTTGTCTGGTGATCATCATGATATATTTTGTTAGAGTGTCTTCCATGAAAAGGTCAGAATCATTAGGTTTCGTATGGCCAAGATGAATTCCCTCAATGGGTCGATCATTCAAGGTGGAGTCTGTTTCTTCAGGTTTGTCAAGTTTTAGATCATGCACAAAGGTAGCATTCAACCAGAGCTGAAGCAACCAGAAAGGTCTAGCCAAAAAATAGCTAGCAGTAGGCTTCACGATGGTCATGAGAAGAACCCATTCGCCCAGGGATTCATAAAGAGGCCCTAGGATGAGTTTGTTCAAGCATATGTTGTGACCCGCATGCAGTTGGTTAGTCAAAGCGATAAACCTTTTGGCTACCTTCAGAGACCTACAACAAAAGATGAACTTTGACAGTCATAACACCAGGAAAGCAATATGTTTAGTGTTGGACACATAATCAATAATTTGATCATGATAATGCTTCATGTACTTAGTGAATCTAGCAAAGTCCTTGTCAAAGCCGATACTATTTTCATCGTTGTTGATCGGGTTGAATGACTCACCAGTTGGACGAAGACAAGTGATGGCCGCCACATCAAAAAGAGTGGGAGTCAACATCCCACAGTTGAAATGGAAGGTATGAGTCGAACCATCCCAAAAGTACAGAGAAGAAACCAAAAGATGGAGGCAGTAGGTGGGGCCAACTCTGGACAACTAGATCAAGTCGAAGATCAATCGGTCTTTCCAGAATTGACTTTTCACCTTTTCAACTTTGTCTAACCATGAGAGATAGTTTGAGATAACAGTAGAGGCAGAACGAAAAACCCTAGGAGGTTGATAAAGATGGCTGAAGTCGAGAGGGAGATCGAGGCTGACTTTGGGTTTGGTACAGTGATAAGCAGGAAAAAAAACTCCTCTATGTTTTGAACAGTCCTAGTGGAATTTGGGATAGGTCCTAAAAGAGCATGTGAAGCATCACCAACAAGAAATGGAAGAATTACCTGAGAACAGAAAATGCACAATTTTTCTTTCATCAACGATGGTTCCAAAACATACTCTTACTGATTGACAACAAGTGGCTTGTCTAGCTTCGTGACCAAAGGCACGAAATCTTCTCTTTGTGTTTGATCTAGAGAGTGAGTGAAGGAAGCCATTGATGGAAAATGAAAAGTATTTGGTTTTCAAGGAGGTTTAAGTATAAAGAAAAGAAAAGAAAGAGAGCCCGAGTGTAAAGAAAGCGTAAAGAAAAAGTGGAAATGAAGTTCCTGAGATATTTATACCCTTAAGGTATCAAAGAGAAGTGAAATCATTGAAGGGACATGCAGAGTACAGGTGGAAAACAATGGTAGGGGGAACAAGGAAGTTGTTGAGTGTGTGGGTCACGTTCTATCCTTGGAAGTTGTAGTTACACTAGGATAATTACTACGTTACTGTGGACATGACCTTTGAGAGGAAGTCATGATGATAATGACGTCATCCCATGATGCCAAACAGGAGAAGACGAAAAATGTCCCTCTCTCATTACCAGTCGACAGAGGCATTTTGGGGGACAATTTATTAGCCAAGATTTCTACAAAGGTCAAATCCAGCTAAAGGGAATAAATGTGGCCAGAAGCGACAGGAGAAGTGTTAGAAGGAGAGAATGATCAAGAGCGTGAACTCAAAATAAACAACCTACGAAGGAGAAAAGGTCAATTTGACACAAAACACGGTGGGGACATGAGGACCCTGCTCGCGATAGGCAGTTATGGAAAGACAGACGCGGAAAAAGACTACCCCTTAATGGGTTTGAAACATAGGAACATGTGAAAGACAAACTGAGGAACTAATAGACACACGACACTTGGAGAAGATGAACCCACCAAAGGAGCAATTACCTTTGTGTGTTATAAATAAGTCAATGTAAACAGTTTTAAGGATTCAAACTACTCACATCTTACACAAACACTCAAAGTACCCAAACGAAGAGTGAAATGATTCAAACAAGAGTAATGTATGTTTGAATCACCAGTTTTTTCTTTTCATATTAATGTCAAGCAAATTTACTTCAACTTTACTTAAGCCTTGCAAATTTATTTGTTTTATTTTTCAAAGCCTTTTCGTTTTTACCATCTGCAAAACAAGTTGATTTCACACCGTGTCGAAGTCACTTGCATCCAAGTCACTCATCATATTTTATCTATACAAACACTTTAAATTCGAAGCATTGTCCTGAGATTCACTAGTCGATCTCGCGAAGCAACCTTTAACAAGAGACTAGCGTTGTTTACCAATTTCCAGAGTAAACAAATGGTTATATTTGTTAGTAGTTGGTTGAGTAGTTGGCTATATAAGTAACCAATTAGTCCAATGATTATTATCACCCCATTGTTTATTACATGTTTTCTTGTTGAGTTTCAACTCAACTTAGCCAAGCCTAAACTCTGCGCAATTAGGGATGGCAACGGGTCGGGTCGGGTGCGGGTTTCACACTACCCACACCCGCACCCGAAATCATCACCCGAACCCGAACTCGAAGGCTATTCGGGTGACAAAATCACACCCGCGCCCGCACCCGTTGGGTTCGGGTTTTTTCACCCAAACCCGAACCCGAAGGCTATTCGGGTGACAAAATCACGCCTGCACCCGTTGGGTTCGGGTTTTTTCACCCAAACCCGCACCAAAAATCAAAAAAAAATTACAATTAAAATAAGGTCTCTTTACATTGTCTTCAAGAAAATGCAATCACAATTATCTTAACATAGTCTTCAACATCTTAACATTACAATTAAAATTAAATTCTACAATCAAATTACAACTTTTCAACAACAACAAGCTAATATATTACAACTTTCTTGTGTAAGATTAGATGTTCCTTCCGGCTCCGGAGTTGTGTTCACTTGATCTATTTTACCTATTACAAAGAAAATATATTTCACATGTTAAGAAACACTAATAGATATTATCATCATAATTTTAAATTGTAATAACAAACATGTGAAACTTAAAACATATAAAACATGTAACTTAATTTTTGGTAATGCTGAACTTTTAAATTGTAATAAGAAGAATCCTTTAGACCACTTCTTGATACATACAGAGATGTAATAGCTTACAACACAGATAACATATCGCTTTTAAATTGTAATAATTTTAACATGCCATATTCTTGATAATTTATCATGTTTGCAACTGGAATAAAACTGCCTATAATAATGTTTGTCTACTAACTTTCAGCATGCTTGCATGCGCGTTAAATATCATGTTTTTAAACTGTCTAGAAACATAAGCACAACACTAAAAGAACTGTCTAATATCAAAAGCATTAGTGCAAATTAGTCGGGGCAATAATGGTGGAAGATAGAAACAATAATACTCACCATGTTAACATATAGAAACAACAACTTCTAATCTTCAAAATGGTAACCCAAGCAACCTTCCATCAACTCAGCTGTATTAACAAATAAATTGATGTTAAATAAAACACTAAAGCATAAAACTTCTACACCAAATGAAGTACAAAATACCTTCATCGTCTGACTCCATTTCATTCAACACAATAGCAATTTCTTCTGCAACTCTAAAAATTCCTATATATATTATATAACAAGAAAAATTAGTAATATATTATTTGCCAATGACATACCAAAGTAGTAATACATTATATAACAAAAAAATTAAGGTAGAAAATAAAAATAATTTGACAATGACATACCGTTATTCTCAGCAGCCCATAGCCAACTCCTAGCACACATCAAAGCCTCTACGGTAGTCCAGTTAAGTCGGCTACGATGAGGACTCAATATTCTACCACTATTACTGAAGGCCGATTCAGAAGCTACTGTAGAGATAGGAATAGCTAACACATCTCTTGCAATTGCTTGAAGTGTTGGATACACAACTCCATTTACCTTCCACCAATTCAAAATGTCAAATTCTGGAGTATTTTTTATAACTGGCTCTTTCAAATAATGATCTAACTCATACTTAACACTTGAACTTGAGTCTTCGGCAACGGCAATTGTCTCAACGTATGCATCAAATTCAGCCTCGTCATCAATAATAGCAGTTGTACCAATGGATGGAGCAGTAGGTTGTGCATCTCTAAGTTTAATCTGTTGATAATCATTGAGCAAATCATAACACATGTCTTTGATTCTACTAACTTGTGCACTTGATTCTTCTCCATACAACTTAGGAAACCAGAAATTAAGTACAACCATCTTCTTCCTAGGATCCAAAACTGCAGCAACTCCCATCATATCATGAACACCACTCCAATAATTTTGAAATTTTTCCATCATTCTTGTGGCCATCATCTCAATAATTGAATTGGAGGACTTCTTCCATTCCTCTATTGCCAACTTAATCTTACAAATCTTAGGAAAGTACAAGTTGGCAGTTGGATATTTTGTACCAGAAATCAACTCAGTTACTTCATTAAATAATTTTAAGCACCCACAAACATCTTTAGCAAATTGCCATTGTGAATTAGTTGGAAGACAAGTGTACAAAGACTCACGTTGCTTCAACCGAATAAATACATCCTTGTACTCTATGGCAATATCAAGCATCTTATATGTGCTATTCCATCTTGTTGGACAATCTAGAGCTAACTTTCTAGTGCAAATAATTGTCAATTGTCTAGCGGTATCTTCAAATTTTTCATACCTTTTAGGTGTAGCACTCCAAAATCCTACAATATCCCGAATATTTTCTATGTCATCCTTAATCACTTGTAGCCCCTCCTGAACAATTAAATTTAGGATGTGCGCACAACAACGCATATGTAACGAAGACCCATCCCTTATTAAACATTCCAACGACAACTTATCCTTAATTTTCCTAATCATTGAGTCATTTGTGCTACAATTATCTAAAGTAATCGTAGAAAGCTTTGAATCAATGTTCCAGTCCATTAAACAATTAACAAGTGCTTCAGCAAGTCTTTCACTAGTGTGAGGGGCTGGAACATAAATGAACCTAACATAATATTTACAAAAAACAAGTCTAAGAACAAAAAAAAAATACAATTAAGTTATAAAATATAAACATTGTTACCTCAAGATTCGACTCTGTAAAGTCCACGAGCCATCAATATAGTGAGCCGTAACCGCCATATACCCTTTTTTTTGGTTGCTTGAAGTCCACATATCTGTGATAATTGCCACTCTCCCTTCATGGTTATCTAACATCTTCATAGCACATTTTTTCTCAAAATCATAAACTTTCAATATCTCCTTCTTGATTGTGTTTCGAGTAAGAACTTTAAACAATGGTTGGAGAGAAACAAAGACTCTTCTAAGACCAATATGATCCACAATTGATAGTGGATAATCGTGCATAATAATAGCTTCAGCAATCAACTTCTTCACATATTCTGGATCATAAGTTCCAATTCCCAACTCTTGCTTTCCTTCTGAGATAGTCGGTAGGAGAAATGGTTGTCCTTTGTCATAGTTTCTAGTCTTGATCTTTTTTTGAATACAACTCAAGAGATGTCCTTTCAAGTGATTTGTTTCATTCTTTGAAGCGCCACTAAGTTGTTTTTTACACCAGATGCATTCAGCCTTATCTTTTCCATTCACTTTCATCTTTTTAAATTCTTGCCACACATTACTTCTAAGTTTCTTTGATGCAGGTTCTAAAATTGTATCAATTTCTTCTTGTTGCCCAATATCAGGTTCAGGTGTCGGATTCGGATTAGAAGATACCTCCTGAGTTGGACATGTACTTTCTTGTGTAGGATTAGATGCTCCTTCTGGTTCCGGGGTTGTGTTCACTTGATCCATTTTACCTACTACAAACAATAAGAAATTTCATAAACAATTGTATAAAAGAAAATGAGACTTTAAGAAGGCACGAAAAAACATACCACCACAAGATTCATAATCGCAAACACCTTAACATTCATACAAAGTTTAAAAAAGAAATTAAAATGATAAAAACTATTATTGATAAAAGCTATTATTAAAAGTAATGTTTTTACACGAGACAACATGGTTTTGTTTCAAATATGAAGTTATATCTCTCTTTTTCAACTGTCAAAGATTCACAGTCCAGCAGCAATGGGCTATGATCCGAGTGCGACGCGAGGAGATTCCACAGCTTTGCATTTGAAAATCGACTATCGCTTGACAGAATCCATTACAATCGCTTACCGCTTGACAGAAACCTGGTGCCATCTCAATTGCTAGACAACTTAAACTACCACTGGCCAGTTCACTATTGCTTGTATAACTCAGATATATTTTACATCAACAAAACATTAATAACTTCTCAAAACCTCAACTGCCACACGTTCTATGTTTCACATGTTCAACTGATTAATAGCAATCAATAACTGCACATATATTACATGGTTGGCTTTAACGAAAACAACTCAGCACATATGTAACTGCTTGCAACTTATATTGACTTCCATGTTTGTATTCATTGGTACAACAACTCAAAGCTTTACATTAAATATTAAACCTTCCTTACACTTGGCTCTATCTTGGGTGTTTTTCATCTCTACGTGTAAGTACTGTGTTCACTCCTATTAAAAAATGAGACTATATTAATAATACATGATAATAGTTAACAAAAGTAATATTTTAGAGAAAAGAAACTTGAGGTGAGCACTCCTAAACCATTTTAAAAGGATTACTGCTAAACCATTTCTAAATGTATGCAAAATATAGATTCAAGCTTAATTGTGTTACAAATGTAAAGTATATTTGATTTGAATATTACACAAGCAAGATCGAACTAGCCTAGTGGTAGTTTAAGTTGTTCAGCAATTGTTCTGCCATGGTTTTGCCATTCCTAATAGCTATTACTCTAAGCTCTTATGCCACATAACTTCTCATGGATTCATTGTTGAGAGATATGAGTAGTTAAAATATGTTTATATTCTCATCAATTTTCGTCTGCTACAGCTTTCAAAAACCTGTTGCAGAACTTACAAAAACCTGCTGCAGAACTTACAAAAACATTCACACAGAACTATCAAAAACATTCACAGAAGTTTTATAATGGCAGCTGAAGGAAAAGGAAGAGCTTGTGTAACAGGAGGTACAGGTTGCGTTGGCATATTCCACACAGCTGCGTTGTGCACATTTTATGTAATTCACAAATTTGGAATTTCTATCACATGAAGTTCGCAAAATGAAACTGAACCTACTTTCAAAAAGAGACATAATCTTATTAACTTTATGATTGACGAACGAGCAAAATTTTAAGATAATGTTGTTATGAACCCTCCTCATCAACATTTTAAACAAAAACGTCCTCCTTGGACATATCAATGAAGTCAACCAAGGAGAGCACCAATTTACTAAGCAATTTTTCCTCCCAAACCAGCAAACTAAGTTGCCATTCGAAGTCACTAACCCACACCCCATCAACCGGAGACCCCATCATACCAACCAGTTGAAACTGCTACTGAGACAGGAAACGATTTCCCAAATAACAAAGCTATATGAAATAATTGAAATCAATTACTAGCACTGCTGCGATTAAAAATATAAGTTTCAAATCCATATTCAGGTCTAATTACGAACCCTAATCATATACACATGAAGAAAAGAGGTTCTCCATCGCCATCATAATTTCAATGCAGCTTATATTCAGAACTTGTCCCACAAAACATGGAGGAAACTATTTATTAATAGCTATGGATGAGTGATTCATGTACCTTTGGAGAATGGCGAGAAGAGGATTGTATGAAGAAGATGACTGAGGAGTTTGTAGGCGCCGGTGAAGAGGCGAAGGAGACTGAGAAACGAACTAACGAAGGTGACGGAGGTGACGAAGGTGACGGAGGTGACGAAGGTGACGGAGGTGACGAAGGCGGTGGCCGGTGGGTGAACTGAAGTGAGCGTGAACTTGAAAGTTGAATTCGTGGCGTGGCGTGATGTACTGAACAATAAACCCTACATTTTATTTTTAATTATTGAAATATATATATATATATATTTGGGGATAGTTTTGTAATTTAACATATAAGCGGGTGTGATTTCGGGTTTCGGGTGCAAGCTACCCCAAACCCACACCCGAAATATCGGGTGGCACCCGAACCCGAACCCAAACCCAGTCAATTCGGATTTCACCCGTTGACTCGGGTGCGGGTGGGGCCCGCGGGTTTGGGTCTGCTTGCCATCCCTATGCGCAATGCCAGCCTGAATTTTATATGTGCAAATTACCAAAGAGATATACTACATGTAGTAGTTGTTCAAAGATTACATATTTATGCATAAATACACAAATAGACCCGACGGTGAAGATTTAATAATTTCTCAATTGGTCGCTGTGCAAAAGAAAGAATAGAAATGTCATTTTCCTCCGAGAGTGCAGTTTCAAGCCTTTTTTTTTTCTTTGGCGAAAGAAAACTTTGATCCTTGCCACAAACCTCTCATATTACCTCAAAATGCTCCTATGCTTGCGGCCAGCACTCCCCAAAAGAATGTATAATCACCAAAAATCTGGCAATGACATGTTTAGAGCCATAGGCCACAACTATTCTATTTTACTTGCACATGTCATAATTGCTGACTTCATCGTTTCTTTATCTAAAACAGTTTGAACAATGACCTGCTCAAAAGATGCTTACTGATTAGGGTTAATTATATGCAACGTCGTGTCAAAAAGCAAAATATCATGAAGTGTATATAACTCAAGAAATCGTCTTCAGTAATAAAAAGACAAAAGTTTGTGTTGCTAGCATTTCTAACATGCAACGTCGAGTCAAAAAAGCAAAATATCATGAAGTGTATATAACTCAAGAAATCATCTTCAGTAATAAAAAGAAAAAAAAGGAATACTAGTGACAGAGAAGACATTCTTGAATGACACAACAAAATCTGTTTAACAAGAAGGTAAAACAGATTCTATAACATTACCTCTTGTATTTTGTTTCCTGATCGGGCAAGCAACTTGTACTGATCCTCAAAGATGGATGCCATATAAACCTGGAACAAAATTTGGTTGAATGCAGATAAATTAAGAGACTGAGTTTGCTGATATATATTAAAATGATTCCAGAAATATATGACAAACAAAAACGATAAGAAAGCCACTAAGATCAATAGTAGAACAATAACCAAACATTAAATAGCTTTCCATTCGTTATTTATTATGAACATGTGAGGCTTAGAAGAACTACTCTAAGAGTTGGTCTTTGAGTTAGCCAAAAGTGTATCGAGAATTACAAACAATAAAATGCACTTGATTGACGACAGAAGAAAAAAAGAACTAATATTCTTTCAAGTAAACAAAAAAATGCAAATCCAAGTATGATCTATTATATTATGCAGAGGTTTGAATATGAATATACGTATCCGTACCTGAAATGTGGGAGCTAAACCAGGGCTCCTGAAAAAACGGCCTTTTGAAACAGACTGGACTCCCTCAATTTTTTGCAATTCTTTTATAAGAGATTCAACTTCAGACCACTGTCCAAAAATGAGCATAGTACGATCAGTTGTTCCGAACCACGGGTTAACGAGACAACAAAATAAGTGTTGCATACTTGTCAATGATTCATTGTAGGGCAAGAATAATTATTTCTCTGTTACATCATAGACATCTAAACGTGATGTTCGAAATGAAAATATTATACATGGAATGCTGGCATAACCAAAGGGCCAAAAGTTGAAACTTGAATAGTGGAACAAAATGCAGAAAACAGCTACTGTTTCAAAATCATCTATTCAGGTCACTTCTATTTTCATGTAGAGATTACCTCTGCCTTAGGTTGAGCAGCTTCCAATCTCCCATCAAAGGAGTCATGATCCCATACTACAGACTCTAAGGATTCCATCAATGGATCAGGCTGTAATAGGCAGGCAATGATTTGCTGAATTAGGAGTCAAACGTTGCTTAGTTTACATAGATTATTCAAAATAATGGAAGCACTTCATAGAAAATAACTACATAGACAATTACCGTGACCTCCTTTAATGATAAAAATATGCGCCCAAGAGCAAAGTTTAATTGGATAACTTTTGCCTCTACAACCTGTGCCAAAAAAAAAAGTAGGCATAAAGATAAATACACAAGAACTATAACTAGGTAAATTTCTAGAAGATATTCATGTATCTTATGATATCTCAACATTATCTTTCTTAGAGTGTATTGTATGTTGGTTGGATTCAAAATTGAACCAAATCGATAAAAAAATCATAGTGTGTATCTATTTTGGACACGAATCTCATTGAATCCCGACTCATTATGTTAAATCCTGAATCACTATAATGAATCTTGATTCACTACCTAAACTTAGTGTAGAAAACTATGTAATTTCGTCAAAAGCAAAAACCAAAATAGAAAAAATTGTTTCAATGCTTTTCTCATAAGCAAAAAAGAAAACATACTTACTTCTCCAAAATAAATATAAAAGATCTTAAAATAATTGTAATGCAGAATAACATATTTTGAAGTTTATACATGCAGACTTTAATTTGTCACCCCGTCAAGAAGGAAAATACCTGATCAATCTTAAAAAAATTAGATGGGTCCAGCGCGGGATCCCAAGATATTTCTGACTGAGGAATTAGTGAAGAAACTCCTTCAACCTAGATTAATAACAGGTAAATATTTAGAATTTTCTGTCTCTTCTCTAAACTCGATTCCATGAAATAATATCCAAGCACTAGCTAAACACAGAGGCCGAGGCACAAGCATAGGCTCAACAAGACTGAAGTATACTGCACAATACTGAAACCAAATGTTTTATATACCTCAACAAAAACTCCAAAGTAAGTTATCTTCTGGACGCGACATTTCACTATATCACCAACTTGAAGTCTAGCCTGCCATTGTAAACACAAGGAACCAGAAGACCACTTTGCTGCATTAAATCTAAAACACATGCTCCAGGCTAATTCAAGAATAGTTATGTCACTAAAGCATTTACCATAAGTTTTCTCTTTTTCTCAACTAGTTCTTCATTCTCTTTTGGTTTGAGTGAAAATATGAGCTTTTTCAATTTTCTGTCTGCCAATAACACATATGCTTTGATTTTCTGCAAAACAAAGTATCGGCATCTAAATATTAAGAGTCACGTCACGATATTAAAGTTTCACTTTTGTGGTAAAACTAGATAAATCTATTTGGGTAGTGTACTTATGTTTTTAATACCAAACCTGTCCAATAAATGATGATAAGAAATTGACTTTCTCTTTGTCATAAATCCTTAAAAGATCTTCCAATTTCATATCTGGAGAAATTTTATCTTCAAATTTACTAGCATTCGTATGAGAAGTAGAATCGGCCGACAAATTATTAATTTCAGCATCATTATTTGTTGTAGTGACCAGGTTTTGCTTGTACATTGATGGATCCAAGCCCTTCTTCCTTAACCATGACTCGAAAGCTAAGAATTTCCATTTGGACAAAAGATTACGGTATGGCAGAAACCCTACCAAGGTACCAAAAGAAACCTGCAAAATGGTTTAATCCAGTTCAGAAGAAAAACGGAACTGACAAGGAAAATGTTTTTTTTTTTTGTTTATAAATGAAAGTTGTCTTAACTGCTTTTAAAAGACTTACAACGAAACCCTTGGCGCTGCAGCTTATTAGTTCCACATCATGTCTATCTCCATTCTTAAACAAATCTTCTGCCTTGGTCCAATAAGCGTCTTTGCCTTCCTACAAAATCACAAGGCACAAAGGTAAACATGGAATTTAGGGAAATAGTGTTAATCAGGAAATAATCAAACGCATTTATTGTGAATAATTTACATTCATAGAATAGGAAATTAGTTATTATGAGTTGTAATTAGTCATTATGAATTGTAATTACCTGTAATTACCGACACTATTATATATAGTATCAAATGCAATGAGAAAGGCATCAAGCCAGAATTTGTGACATGGTATCAGAAGTTTCGATCTAACCTATGAATCCTTGTTCTCTTGGCTGAATAGTGACACTCCACTGGGTCACTCTTGAAATCGTGTTTCTTGTTTGTATTTCTCGAAACCGCGTTTCTCAATTGAAATCTTTCAATTGTCGTTTCGTGATTTCTTCATTGTTGTTGCTTTGTGATCTTGATTCCGTGTTTATCGCAAGTTGTTACGGTGATCGTTAATCAATTGGTGCTGCTAGCATACTGTGATTTGCGATTCTGTTTCTCGGCAATTCTACTTCTCGGCGATTCTGCTTGGTGATCGTTATTCTTGGTGATTCTGTTCGGTGATCGTGGTTTCATTGTTGGATTGTTGGCGATTCTCGACCGTGGTTTCATTGTTGTCTTGTTGGTGTTTCTCGATCGTGATTTCATTGTTGATATTTCTCGATCGTGCGTGTTTCTTCACCGTTCGTTGGCTACTAAGTGGGGTTTCCTGGGATTATAATATCATGGCTATGGAAAATGAAAAGAATTTTTGTGTCCGTTTTACCGGCAAGAATTACTCCGCATGGGAATTTCAGTTCAAGTTGTATGTTAAAGGAAAGGGATTATGGAATCATCTAGATGATGTTTCTAAGGCACCGACGGAGAAAACTGCTTTAGATGCGTGGGAAACTAAAGATGCTCAAATCATCACTTGGATTCTCAACAGTATTGATCCTCAGATGATCAATAATTTACGCTCTTTTTCAACTGCTCAAGAAATGTGGAATTATTTGAAGTGCATTTACAACCAGGACAATTCAGCAAAACGTTTTCAGTTGGAGTTGGAAATAGCCAACTACAAACAAGGTGATTTGTCTATTCAAGAATACTATTCTGGTTTTTTAAATCTCTGGGCAGAACACTCTACTATTATACATGCTAATGTTCCCAAGACCTCTCTCGCGGTTATTCAAGAGGTTTACAACACAAGTGGACGAGATCAATTTCTCATGAAATTACGTCCAGAATTTGGAGTTGTCAGAGGTGTCTTGCTGAATAGGAATCTTGTTCCTTCTTTAGATACATGTGTTGGAGAACTTCTAAGGGAGGAACAACATCTTATTACTCAAAGAGCCATGTCTCATGATGCTACCATTTCCGAGCTCATGACGGTTGCATATGCTGCTCAAAGTAAAGGTAAAAGTTGTGATATGAGACAGGTTCAGTGCTTTTCTTGCAAACAATTTGGTCATATTGCTCGTAGCTGCAATAAGAAGTTTTGTAATTACTGCAAGCAACAGGGTCAAATTATCTCTGAGTGTCCCACACGTCCTCCACGACTAACACAACGTTCAGCACAGACATTCCATGCAACTACAAAGCATGTGGTCGGTCTTTCCACTAATGGCGCATCAAACAATAGTGCTATACAACCTGAATTGATTCAACAAATGGTACTTTCCGCTCTTTCGGCCTTGGAAATTCAGGGTAAGTCTTCTAATGTTTCTCGCCCATGGTTTCTTGATTCGGGTGCATCCAATCACATGACAGATTCTTCAGAGTATTTGCACAATTTACACTCTTATCATGGTAATCAGAAAATTCAAATAGCTGATGGTAATACTTTATCTATTACTGATGTTGGCGACATAAATTCTAATTTTCGGGACGTGCTTGTATCGACTGGACTTGCGTCTAATTTATTATCTGTTGGTCAATTGGTAGATAAAAATTATGATGTTGACTTTTCTCGTGATGGTTGTCTTGTGCAGAAGCAGGTATCGGAGAAGGTGATCGCGAAGGGGCCTAAAGTGGGAAGACTTTCCACTCCAGTTTATTTCTAATCATATATCTCTTGCTTGTAATAATGTTTTAAACTCTTATGAGGATTGGCATAGAAAATTAGGTCATCCAAACTCTGTTGTTTTGTCCCATTTATTTAAAATTGGTTTGTTGGGAAATAAAAATGTTTCTAATGCCTCTATTTCATGTTCTGTTTGTAAATTGACTAAGAGCAAAACACTTCCTTTTCCGTCTGGTGCTTATCGTGCTTCCACTTGTTTTGAAATGATTCATAGTGATGTATGGGGTATGTCTCCTGTAGTTTCTCATTCTCACTATAAATATTTTGTCACATTTATTGATGATTATAGTCGTTTTGTTTGGATATATTTCCTTCGGTCTAAATCTGAAGTGGTTTCTATGTTTAAGAAATTTCTGACATATGTTGAAACTCAATTTCAAACAAGTGTGAAAATTTTTTGCTCTGACTCTGGTGGTGAGTACATGTCTCACACGTTTCAGGAATACCTTCAACAAAAAGGCATCTTGTCGCAACGATCTTGTCCCAATACCCCTCAACAAAATGGTATGGCAGAACGTAAGAATCGTCATTTGCTTGATGTAACACGCACATTGCTTCTCCAAGCTTTTGTACCATCCCGATTTTGGGTAGAGGCTCTTTCCACAGTTGTCTTCTTGATCAATCGTCTTTCTTCTACGGTTATTAAACTTGATTCTCCTTTCTTTCGTCTTTTTAAAATTCATCCTGATTATAGTGCTTTACATACTTCTGAGTGTGTGTTTTGTTCACTTACCTCCTTTTGAAAGGCATAAGCTTGGAGCACAATCCGTTCAATGTGCATTTATGGGATATAGTCACTCTCATAAGGGATTTGTGTGTTATGATATCACTAACCATCGTTTTCGTATTTCTAGAAATGTGACATTTTTTGATAATCAATTTATGTTTCCCTGTGTTTCTCCTGCCATTAATGATATTGTTACTCTTCCTAAATTTTCTATTATGCCTCAATCTATAGAACGTTATAAACCAGGTCATGTATATGTCAGAAAACACAGACAGCAGGTTCCCACACCCCTTCCCGACATTGAACCGTCACCTGATCCTGTACCGGCTAACCCACGGCGTTCTGGTCGAATATCTCGCGCACCAGATAGATATTCACCAGACAGGTATGATTCTTCACATACTTCTCTGACTGCCACACTCTCTAGCATATCTATCCCTACTTGTTACTCACAGGCTGTTAAGGAGGTGCGATAGATAAAAGCAATGAATGAAGAGCTTCAAGCTCTTCAAGAGAATTTCACGTGGGATATTGTCTCTTGCCCTCCTGATGTAAAACCTATAGGTTGCAAATGGGTGTATTCTGTGAAATTGAATTCTGATGGGTCTCTCAACCGTTACAAGGCTCGTTTGGTTGCATTAGAAAACAAGCAGGAATATGGAATTGATTATGATGAGACATTTGCACCGGTTGCCAAAATGACAACTGTCCGCACGATCATCTCTATAGCTGCTTCTAACGGGTGGACTCTATACATCAAATGGATGTGAAGAATGCTTTTCTTCATGGTGACCTGACAGAAGATATTTATATGACTCCACCTCAAGGCTTATTCTCTTCATCTAAAGGCGTGTGCAAGCTCAAACGCTCCTTATATGGTTTGAAACAGACACCTAGAGCATGGTACGAGAAACTCCGCTCCACTCTATTTGGATTCTCCTTTACTCAGAGTCAGTATGATTCATCTTTATTTATTCATAGCATATCTGCAGGTATTGTTCTGCTTCTTTTGTATGTTGATGATATGGTTATTACTGGTTCGGATCTTGCTTCCATTCAGCGACTTAAGCAACAATTACATGCCTCATTTCACATGAAAGATCTGGGTAATCTACATTATTTTCTTGGTCTTGAGGTTCATTCTACATCCAAGGGCATCTTTCTCAATCAACACAAGTATGCTACAAATTTGATTTCTATGGCCGATCTCGAATCGGCTAATCCGGTAGATACTCCTCTTGAAGTTAATGTTAAATATCATCGTGATGATGGTGATCTTTTGCCTGATCCCTTATTGTATCGACAACTTGTGGGTAGCCTCAACTACTTGACTATTACTCGCCCTGACATATCTTTTGCTGTTCAACAAGTAAGTCAATTCATGCATTCTCCTCGCCATCTTCACTTGGTTGCGGTTCGTCGTATAATTCACTACTTAAAGGGAACCTCTCACCGCGGATTATTCTTTTCCGTTGGAATTTCTCTTCAGTTGAGTGCTTATAGTGATGCTGATTGGGCAGGGTGTCCTGATACTCGTCGATCTGTTACCGGTTGGTGCATGTTTCTTGGTTCTTCATTGATCTCTTGGAAAAGTAAGAAATAAGCAAGAGTTTCTAAATCTTCTACTGAATCAGAGTATCGTGCCATGTCTGCTGCTTGTTCAGAAATACTTTGGCTTCGTGGTCTGTTGGCTGAACTTGGATTTTCCCAAACAGAGTCAACTTCCCTTTATGCTGACAATACAAGTGTCATTCACATTATTGCAAATCCCGTTTTTCATGAACGCACCAAACATATCGAAGTTGATTGTCATTCAATACGTGACGCCTACGATGATCGAATAATATCACTTCCTCACGTCAGTACTCAGTTGCAGGTTGCAGATATTCTTACCAAGGTTGTTCCACGCCCACGACATCAGTTTCTTGTTAGCAAATTGTTGCTCCTTGACCGGCCGCATCAATTTGAGCGGGGATGTTAATCAGGAAATAATCAAACGCATTTATTGTGAATAATTTACATTCATAGAATAGGAAATTAGTTATTATGAGTTGTAATTAGTCATTATGAATTGTAATTAACTGTAATTACCGACACTATTATATATAGTATCAAATACAATGAGAAAGGCATCAAGCCAGAATTTGTGACAAATAGATGTACAACTAATGTTTCAAACAGACCAGTGTTGTCCATGACGGATGTCGGTCCATGGCGGAAAGCCAAATTCCCGCCATACCGGCCGCTTTGCGGCACCATTATAGCATATTATGGTAGAAAAACCTGCAATATTGGCCGATATTTACCATGGTTGCAAGCCCAAAAACCACCATGTATATCCGCCATAGTGGCCATGGCGCCGCTATATGATAACCCTGATACACTGATACAGAAAAGTAAGTAACTAGGGTAGTCCAAAATCTGACCTGAATATCTGACACATCAACAAAATTGCCTGATTCTTCACTGTTTCCGCGACTTCCGGGATCAAGGGAAACAGTCTTTTGTCCAACAAGTATTGAGGTTTGTTTCACATATTGATCTAATCTATAACAAAAATTATATTTAAGTAATGAAACATATTTGCAACCATAATTTGAAACATACAACTCTGTAACGATTACCATATACCTTTTTGGCTTTCCTTGTGTTGCAGCTTCAACGGACAACTCCGTCTTAGAACCAACGGAATTTAAATCAGACGGTTGATTTAAATCGATCGGCTCCTGACGGACCTCCGACTGTTTCTGCTCATCTTGCTCCGATTCCTAATTAATCAAGCATGAAATCATTTAAAAACTATCCTTACTAACGAACTCCATTACGCAACAAAGATTAGCACCTACATCATTTGGGACTACGACTCTTGCATCTCCAAACTGCTCTTCGTCTTTGTCACTTGATCTGTGTGGCTGTTCCAACAACATCACCTTCTTGACTTCATCACTTGGATCTTCAGACTGCTCTTGTTCTTTTTTGGCGGTTGGTCTGTGTGGCTGTTCCAACAAGTTCAATGTAACGACTTCATCACTTGAATCTTCAAATTCCTCATGTTCTATTTTACTGCTTGGTTTGGGCGGCTGTTCCAACAAGCTCAATTCAGCGACTTCATCACTTGTCTCTTCAAACTTCTCTTGTTCTATTTTTCCGATTGATCTGTGTGGCTGTTCCAACAAGCTCAAATTGGTGACTTCATCACTTTGCTCTACAAACTTCTCTTGTTCTTTTTTGCCGCCTGATCTGTGCGGTTGTTCCAACAAGCTCAAATTAGCGACTTCATCACTTGGCTCGTCAAACTTCTCTTGTTCTATTTTTCCGCTTGGTCTATGTGGATGTTCCAACAAGCTCAATCTACCGACTTCATCACTCGTCTCTACAAACTTCTCTATTTCTTGATTACTACTTGGTCTGTGCGGTTGTTCCAACAAGCTCAAATTAGCGACTTCATCACTTGGCTCGTCAAACTTCTCTTGTTCTATTTTTCCGCTTGGTCTATGTGGATGTTCCAACAAGCTCAATCTACCGACTTCATCACTCGTCTCTACAAACTTCTCTATTTCTTTATTACTACTTGGTCTGTGCGGTTGTTCCAACAACATCAAGTTAGCAACTTCATCCCTCGGCTCCACAAATTTCTCTAGTCCTTTATTACTACCTGGTCTATGCGGTTGTTCCAACAACGTCAACTTAGCAACTTCATAACTTGTCACTTCTTTCGGCATCTTCAACCCACCATCTCTATTCTCGCCAATTGACAATCCCGGCTTCCTCAACAATGTCACGTCACTAAACTTCTCCTTCACTTGTCCACTCAGACTCAAATTTGGTTTTAACATCAACCTCGAAGACACATCCTCCTCTTCATCCTTGTCCGTTTTAAGCAACGACGGCTTCCTCAAAATAACCTTAGGAACACTACTTTTCCTAACATTCCCCGGCTCACTCGGCGTCAAGCTAGGTTTCTTAATCTCCATTGCAACATTCTTATAATCATCATTTGGCTGGAGTTGTGGTTTTGGAGGTGAATTGTTAGCCCAAGGTCTTTCAACTTCAAATGGAAGTTCCTCAATTTCCACAACTTTACCTTTCTTTCTTTTATAAAATGATTTCTCAATATCAAGATAAGAAGCATCAGGGTTTGCCTTTCTTCCCATTATCTAAAACAACAAGCATTATAATGATAGTGATAAATAGATAAACTACAGAAACCAAAATTCAAAAATTGAAATGTGATAATAAATTCATAACATGGAAAATACCTTTGCAAGAGTGAGTTTAGGATCCTCGCCAAGTAAACGACCGAACTTGAGGTCCATGAGGTCTTGATTATCTAAATTAGGTATATTCTGGTCAAGTTCATCGTGTGAGCGTGATGATGAGGCGAAAACCTTGTTGATTTTTCTCTGATTTAGATAAACAGTTCTTCTTGTTATTGTTGTTGTTCTGTTGGAGGATGGAAACCGTGGGAGAAGAGTAGTGGCGGTGAGGAATGAGGTTTTGCTGGTGAGAGGAAGAGACTCCATTTTTGTGTTACCTTAAACAAACTTCATCTCAACGGTTTTTTTTCAGTCTCGCTGTTCTGTTCTCAGGAGGGTTATCCAGCAGCTCGTAGTGACGTGGTTTCTCGGCCTTTTGTTTTTCAATTTTTTTAACTCTTAATACACAAAAATCTTCTTACTTTTTTAATTTAAATGCGGTACCATGGTTTGCCCTAATCCCTTCTCCAACTCATTCATATTTCAATAAAAATATATATTCAACTGGAGAGGTGTTACATTTTGTGTTTTCAAATTAAATAATAATATATAAATATGTATTGTGTTGGCTATGAGACCGGGTGAGTAATAAAATATATGCACTCGCACTCATATCCCACTTATTTTGTTAGGTAATTATGTGGGCATGTAATCATATATGTTTTGCAGATTTTTATTCTATCAGTTCTAGACATGTTTTGCAAGTACCTGTTAGGTATGAGTCAAATTGACATCTCTAATGGTGATAGACGTGTCTGAAGGTAGAATTTTGTGTTCTTGCATGTGGAAGAGGAAAATTCTCAAACAAGAAGAAGAAGAGTAGAAACTTTAAGGAATCGCCAAGCTCCTTCAACAATTCCTCTCTTAGTTCAGAATCAAGCTCAAGGTGGGGTTCTTTTAACTTTAAATCTTGGATAGAAATGATTAGGTTAATTGTATGTGTTAAATTGTTAGTGATTATCCTATGTAGATTCCTTGTTTGTTGTTAAATCACCCCTTAAATTTCTAGTACTAAGATCATGATTTAAATAATTTGTGAGTAATTGGAGGAGGAAGACAACCCTAGGGCTAACTATGGATCGCAACCCTCGTTATGGGCATGCCGTAGTCGTCCCAAGTTTTCATATTAAGGAGTTGGCATGGTGTATAATTATCGTATTAAATCCTATGTCCATGGCAAAGCCGACCCACTTCCTATGTCTTCTTACCATTTTGGCATCACAAACCTCCTAATAGACATGTTATATATAATGGGTTCTGTACGAAATAGAAATACATAAGTAGTGGCGTTCGAGACTCATTTGTATAGTAAGTTAGCAAGTAAATATCCCAGTAGTTAGTAAGGTATGACATAGAAAGAGGAAACATGTGTAGGATAAATTAGAGTAGGAACTCAGGTCTAGGGGGGACATTGTTAAAAGAGTTTAGATGTTAAGGTTATAACTTGAAAAATGTTTAACGGTAGAGCATTTGGTTGTTCTACAAACTACCCATGTCCTATAAAGTAAATGGAGGTAAAAACTAACTAGACACATATAGAGAATTATATTCCTCGCTACATATGTCTGATGTATAAACCGAAATAGAGCACAAGTCTCACCGAGTCATAGTAGTATGTTGATGATTCCATAAACTAGATTCAAACATGGGGTATCATTGTGGTTACGATCTGTGGACTATATAGGTGTATGGGATAACATATCCATGTATATATAGTGTATGAGATTTATTATATACCAAATCCATTTTTGAGGTGTCGAGAATCTCCAATATTCCTATGAATTTCATCGATAGTGGAAACGAGTTACATGTGAAGTAGTTGGTCGCTGAGAGCACTTATGGTCGTAGTAAGAACTCCCTTTAGATTATTTATCTCACCCCAAGTTTACTCTTTTCTTATAGATGAGAAGGTAAGAAGTAAAGTAAAGTAGTTGTCTTTATGTTTTATTAGTTCTTACTAGTTTTTGTTGCATAGTTATTTTTTATGTAATTATGTCATGATATATTTTGACATACTTGTAATGTAACTTCATGTTATTCAATGTATACATAGCAGTTATGTTAATTCCTCACTTTGATATTCTAGATAAATTGAATGTGGAGTATTACAATCATGTATAGATCCGAGTATATGGATTGAGGTGTGTGAACTAGACCATTTAACCTGAGGACCGCACAGGTTTTAGACCACTATTTTATCTTATTTAAATTTTAGTCTGTAAGGGTTTGTGTTATGGGCCAGCCGTATCGACCGGCCGACCACGCTGATGGATTTGTACTACTTCCAGAATTTTCTTAACACAAACATTTTCTTCGTGATGCTAACAAAGATCTCAACTGCAAATATATCCAATGACTCTATGCAATTCACTCTTAAATAACAATGAGTTTGTTATTCTCTCTACTATATATATAAAGAAAACACCAAATTCATGTGACAATCTTCAAATACAATTTCAATTCACTCTTCTTCCTCATATACTGAATTGAGCATTAGAGTATTAACCTTGCATACCCCCCATCTCCGTCGCTCTAGAAGCTCAAATCCACCATCACTTTCGACTATCACTATATTTATGGTTCTAGAACAAAACAATGGTCCATTCCCTCATTTCAAATCATCTAAAACTTTGTTTTGACAAAACTCACACTCTCTTTAAACTTTTATTTTACTTTGTCTCACTAATATTATTGTCGAAGTGCTTCTACAAGAAAGTCCTTTTGTGAGCGGGGATAAGTTGTAATTCTGGAAGAGCAGAATTGTAAAATTCACCAAGGAAATATTTTGTATACACCTTGGTTGAATATTATCCATTTAGGTATTATTTTTGTGTTAGAGGCTAAACCCGTAAAAAAAATGGTTTGAGGATTGTATGATCAAGCCCTTGTTTAGGTTCAAGATGAGCTCGTATAAAAATCTCTTTAGTTCTTTGTTAGCCCATGGTAAAACCAATATTAGGTTCAAACTCAACCCAGTATTAAAAGCTTAATAGGTTCGAGGTTAGTCCGATATTAAAATCTCTCAGGTCATTGGTTAGCCCGGGGTAAAACCAAGGTTTAAAGGTTCGTGAGTTCAGCCCGTGATAAAAGCTTCCAAAGTTTATTTATAAGCTTGAAGACTAACCTCTCCAAGATTATAGTAGAAAGAGGACTAATCGCTTCAATCTATGCTGAAGCGGTAAAGCGGCAAGCAAAAGTAAGTATTTACTTTTATCATATCTTCTCCACAAGGATTAGTGCTACTGAATTGTTGTTCGATAATTTCTCGCGTTTATGAGTTTGGGTTTGAATTGGGTTGGTTTGTATAAAAGGTAAATACGGGAATTATAGTTATTAACAGAAAAAGAATTCATTCTTAGGACAATAGAGAACTCTCGGGTTTGCATTTCATCCACCCTATCAAATACTTAAACTTACTACCTAGTTGTACTCAACCTAAGTCACTCATTAATATTATCATGCATCTCTCACACAGAGGTTATCTCTAACACTGAATGAGACAACGACCGTATTATTTGCGTCAATGATCTTTCAGCGCAACACAAACAACACAGAAGCATTAAGCTCTGATACCTAAATGATATTAAGCCTTAATCTATCTCTAGAATTAAAATCCAATAGATGTTCATCCTAAATTCGGATACGAATTGTCCATTTCTACAATAACCCAAACCCAAATAAAGAAAGCAATCATCAATATTTATTTGTAAAATGAGTTTCATACAACATCATGAGCAATAAATATACATATAATCAAGGTAAACTTACATACAAACTCACAACAAATGGAAACTACAAAGGGAAGAAAGAAGAGGAATCAAAATCTCTCGTGGTGTCAATCACGATCCAAGAACCATCCACCCCCAATCATTGAGTTGCAAACTCCATTGATGATTTTCTAAGCTCTAAAGACCAAAAAAATGTTGGTTGATGAATTAGAAACAAATACCCCAAAACATAACCTAAAAAAATGTGTTTTTGCCCCCCCCCCCCCCCCCCCCCTTTATAATGAAATTCTACCCAGGCAGTCTTACTCGGCGAACCCGGGGTGAGCTGGGGATTAAAATAGTGTTTTTTCAAGCTTTTGGGTGTTCTACCTCGCCTTTGTGTCGCCCGGCGAGCTCGGGGGCGAGCCTTATAGTAAATTGGAAAAAACCAGCATTGTTTTTGCCATAACTTGAGAACCGTAACTCTGATTTGCATACAGTTTGAAGCGTTGGAAAGCTTATTCAATACTCTTTCTAACAATGACTAAATATCAATGCTTGAATACCTATAAATATGAGATAAAAATAATTAAACTCAATGATATTTACACGATAACACAATATATACACTATAACATAAACTATACCTAATATATATTAAAGTTGAGGTTTATTGACAAAAAGAAAATGAACTAAGCTGATGAATGCTAATTATTCACACTTAAATTCAAAACAATTTAGCACTCATCAAACTCTCCCCAACTTATAACATTGTTTATCCTCAAAGAAAGTCAAACAACTTAAAGAAATAAAAGACGATAATCCAAGAATCACGAATCAACAGGTTTTGAAAACGGAAAACAAATGTATGGTTCAAATAAAAAACATACAATCAAAGTAAACCCTTACCACTAAACTACAACGTTAGCATGAAAACAAAATATCTCTTAAATACAAAACACATGTCAAAGATTCTAAAACAATACAAAGTTCAAAAATGAATCACACCTAGCACATAATTCATCGGTAGATGAATAACAAAAAAAATGGGGTGCTTTTACTTTCACCCAAAAATCAAGTTAACAATAAGTTAAATTATGCACTCATCGAGAAAAACTCATATTCAACAATATAAAAGCAAGAATCAAGAGGACTTTTCAAGGTTTGTAATTGGACTCAGTTAACAAAGAAGGGTTGATCCTAAGGCTAACTAAATGAAATTTCCTAAATAGATGGGAGTATTTAATCACACAAATTCAAACAATCAAAAATTATTTTTATTCACCCTCTCAGTTTGCTCATTGGTACAACCTTGATTTTATTCAAAACACATTTTCTTTCTTTTTTTCATTTTCTTTTTCTTTGTCGTTTCTTTCTCTTTTCTTTTCCTTTTTCACATTTTTTTCTTTTCTTTTTCTTTTTCCAACCACTTATTTCTTTTCAATAACAAAGTAAATAACACATGAGCAACCAAACAAGTGCTCTCCCTAAATTGAATACAACCTAACATGAAGTGTGAATTCTCCCTAACTTTCTAAGGCAAGGAAAACAAAACAAACC